GGATGCTCTGCCTGCCAGAAAGCACCTGTTTAGGAGGCAGAAGGCGATGCACGCTGTGCTCTGAGGACCCCAGCCCCATGCACAACTCTCAGCTTTCCCACAGGTGTGGTTTTTTTGCATCCCCCCCATCCTGTGATGGCAGGAGAGGAACCCACTACCTCCATCCTGCACCCAGGCCAGGTGAGAGCTGTGTTTGTCTCCTGATCACTGAGAAAATGCTTCTGGCTGACGGTTTGGGAAGGGATGGGAAACTGAGGCAAGAGTGGGGACAGCATTTGCCCAGGATTCTGCAGCTGGGAGATGTCTCAGCATCCCTTCTCAGCGGGCTGCTCCATTCAGAGCTCCTTAAATTACAGTGGAGAGGTGGTGAGGAGGAGGGATGTCCATGTTCTGGGGAAGGGGCAGGACGCCCTTCCCTTTTGCTGATGCTCCACTGAGTCACTGGTCCCTCTGCAGCAGCTGTGCTGAACCCCAGGAGGGCCTTGGTGCCGTCGCGCAGGATCGTGCCCTGTGGCAGAAGGGCGATACCTTTCCTAGCCACTGTAATTTCTTATTCCTGGGTGGATGATTTCTGTGGGAAGATGAAAAGTTAAACCGCAGCCGATAGCCCTAAGCTGTGCCTGTGTTTGAACCTTGCGGTTTGAGGAAATACTCCATATCCTCAGGGCAGGCAAGCAAACTGCATCGGCACCACCAGTGCTTTACTCAGGCTTTACTTTCTTGTATTCTTCCTTAAATGACAGCGAAGCTACTTAAATTTTGCACATGCCAGAGCCCCAGGAGTGATTGGTGGGAAGCAGCATCCTCACCTTATCAGGAGCCACTTAAGGTCTGGTTGCAAGACCTGAGCTGCTTGGCAGCTGTTTTGTGTGCAGATATCATCACTGATCCCTCCTGCCTTACCCCATGAATGTAAAAGCTGGGGACAGAAGTGAAAGGACAGCAGAAGCGGATGGAAAGCAGCTCTCCAGCAAACGTGCCAGGAGTGCTGGGAGCATCACCAAGGTGAGCAGCCGAACCTTCCCCTTCCTCCCTGAGGTTCCTCCCAAGCCTTTGCTTGCAGAAATAAATCAAAGACCTTCGTAGGCAGGTCTGGCTCAAAGAGGAGGTGTCTCCAGAGTCCTTGGAGGAGATGCAGGTTTAGCCACCAGCAGATGCTGGGGTTTTTTAACCCCTCGCTGCAGGATTTCATGAGCCTGAGCCTGCAAAAGTCCACTCAAAACTGTCCCTGTCACTGTTCTTTCAGGCAGTGTCGTATTCTCAGGTGGGACCTGGGCAGCCTTGCTCCCTTCGCAGGCGTGGTTTTTCCTGGTGGTGTAGGGTTTTTGAGGCTCGTCACAGCAGCTCCCATGTCCTGCTTTCAGAGCTGAGGCTCCACTGCCATCCGCAGCCCTAGCACAGGGGTCAGCACACATCTTGCAGCAGGGAGCAAAGGTTTTTGCCCCCCAATGTGGAGGTGTGGGTTTGGGGCAGCTGAAGTTGTCTGGAGATCTGCGAGCAGGCGCTGTGCCAGCCCTGGGCTGGGGTCTGAGCCCTCCTCAGGCGGGGGAAACTGAGATTATTTGGTCTGCCTGGCCTGGTATGGGAGCCCTGAGCTTCTCTCCTGGCCACTATGGAGAGTTCGTTGCCGATTCTGCTGGGCCAGGGACAGCTCTGCTACAGAGTCACAGGGAGCAAAGTGAGGAGACCTGAGACTGCGTAGTGGCTTTGGTGGCCATAGTGAGAGTGTAGCAAACACAGAATCACAGAATCACAGCAAACACCTTTGATTCATGTTTCTGCTGTTAAAATCGGAGGCTAATGCTGAGCTGTAAGCAGTCATCACTCCTCTTCAGAGTGAACAGTATCTCAGAAGTACAGGAATGCTTTTTGGTCAGCTTCCCCAGGCCCAGCGATTGACAGGGTGTGATTTGGGAGACAGCTGCTCCATGCCTCAGTTTCCCTAGCTGTGAACCAAAGCTGCAGAGGTGCCAAGCCAGGACTGGGCAGGATGGATACTTGTTTCTTGCCAGACTGGGGACACCCATGGGGACAGGGAAGGAGGAATCAGGCTGGGGTCTCTGGCACTGCTCTGGGGAGCTCTGACCAAAGCCAGAAGCTGAGGCTGGATGTCAAGCAGTGAAGCCGGGCTGGTACCAAGGTTCTGATGTGTAACTACGGCCGAGATTAGGGGTGGTGGGAAAGTCTGGCAGTCATGCAGGGACAGAGCTAAACGGATCAAGCAGCAATTGGCAGGCTCAGCACAGGGAGGCTTAGCTCAGCCCCGCACAGATTTGCTGCCTCCTGCCCCAGTTCCTCGGGGTTGGGGCAGAGCCACAGGTGGATCATCTTTGGGCACATCACCCTGGGCACAGCCCCTCGCACCGCCCCACAGGGTTTCAGCAGCCCCATTGCAGCTCAGCTGCGTATCCCCATGCCCACCTGGGCAAGACGGTGCCTTTCCCGTAGCGCTGCCAGACTCACAGCTGGCTGGTGAGTGCCTGGGGTAGCTTTGGCTGCTCCAGGGATTTTGAGGGTGCTCAGACCTACTTAATTTTAGGGTTTTCTTTGCGCTATCCCACACCAAAACCAGGCTGGCTTCTGGGAGCTGGGGCATTGGGGACAGCTGGGTGCCAGTAATCCCATTTGCGGGCAGTGCTGGGCTAATCCCCACAGAGCTCTGAGCGGATTGGGTGGGCTTGGGGGGGTCAGTGTGAGCTGTGGTGGCCAAGGGAGCCCACACATCCCAGTGGTGTCTTCCTGAGGAGGCAGCGGTGAGTGCGTGGGGGTAAGTGGCACCGATGGAGGCGAGGGATGTGGCTGGTGTTTCTGCAGGGCCACTTCCGCACATCGTGGCGGGATTTGGTGCTCCAAAGCAGAGCTGGAGGATGAGCTGAGACAGGAGCACGGGCCCATGAAGAGTGATGCTGCAAGGGTGACAGAGCTGGGTAATGTGAAGGGGTTTGGTGTGATGTTGGAGGGGAGGGAAAGGCCATGGTGCTCCCTGCTCTGACTGGGGATGGTGGCTCTGCGTCCTGCTTCTTGCTCTCGGAGACTGGGGCCCTTCGCCTGCTGACGTGAGCCCCATGGAGCTCTCGTGGCAGTCGGTGATACCAGGGGGATTGCATGTGGCTGCCGGCTCCTTGCTGCCATCACAGGCAAATCCTGGCTGCTTATTCCTATACCTTCCAGCAACTTGGTTTTCTGGGGACCCACAGATGTTTCTGTCCCTCTCCTGTTCAGATGTGCCAGAGGAACGGTCCTGGCTCTCCACTTTCCTTCCTGGGCCAAGGACAGGCTTAAGCTCCAGGCTCTCACCTCTGCGCAAGCTTATATCGAGGGAGGGGGAGACCTCGACGATCACAGGGGGCTTGCTCTAGCCTCGGGGGGCTTTCTTGGGTCTTGTTTGGGCTCAGCAGTGTACGTTGGCCCTGAAGTTCTTTGGGACCTGTGAAGATCCCTAAGTATGGGTGGAAATGCTGCTATACTGCACGGTGCTGCTGGATTTTCCTTGCTGTTCCTGGGGCATTTGCAGCTTCTTAATCCTTTACACCCAGTGCAGGTAAAAGGCAATTTCTTATTTGGTTTTTGGTCTTCAGGCCTCCTGGGAAATGTTTTACAGCCACCCTGTCCTACTCTGGGGACATGGGGGTCTCCAGGAGAGCTGACCCTGCCTGTGGTGTGCGGGGACTGCAGGACTGCGTGGGGTGATGCTTTGGACGCATCCAAACCTAGCTCCTGGGCTTGTCTGAGGTGGGGGCACACAGAGAGCTGAGGACGTGTGTCATCTCGCCCTGGTTGAGATTGGAGATGCCAGACTTTGGACAGCCCCCATGAAACTCCTCAAGGGATTGGAAGGCGTTCTGTGTGCCCAAAAGCTGAGTGAGGGGTTAATGCAGAGAGTCTGACACTGAGCAGCTGCCAGCCTGCAGTCTCTGCTCCACAGCACTGGGGCTGTGGGTTAACCTGGGACCAAAACTCCCGTGTGGTCTCCTGGCCAGGCTGGATGGAGCGCAAGGATCTGCTTTCTTGTGCGCTTCGCAGGAACCTCCTGTGAGCAGCAGCATGAGGGCGGCCTGAGATCCTCCAGCAGAATGGAGTGTCTTTGGAAGGGCATTTTGGGCAAAGTGGAGCTCTTTGGAGGGGCAGCAGCAGAAGACGTCCCCAGTTTGAGCTGTACAAGAACTCCAGTCCTGTACCCAGGCATGGGAACATGGAACATTGCTTGGCTTGCTGGTGCTGCATCCCAGCCTGCAGTTACACCAAGGAGGAATGGGGGGGGACTCAAAACAACCGAGCAAACAGAGCTTGAACAGCTGAATCCCTGCGCTGCAGCATCTTATTTTTACCTACCCCATCAATATCTCAGCAGCCACAGCAAGTCAGTGCTGGCTGCCTTCGCTGCCCACCCCAGGGCCCCAGGCGGGTGCTTGCCCCAGTGGCCACCATGGCCCTGGGCCATAGCCAAAAGGTGACAGAGCAGAGTTGTTTCTTAGGGGCAGGATGAGTTGGTATGGGTGTTGGGACATGAACTTGCTCATAAAAAAAAATCTGCTTGAATTACTGTTGGTTTTCAACCTTTGAATGGAAAATGAAGGGGAGTGTAGAGGACCCTGAGCAGAGCATCACGGTTTCTGTGATCCATCTGCTACAGCTTCACAAGTGCTTCTCTGTGTGTGAACCTGGCTGTGGAGAGTTGTGCAAAAAAAACCTCAAAACTAAATGAGTGGTTACATCTGGGAAAAGCAATTTTAACTGAGCCTGTGAACTTAAAATAGAGGGCATAGTTTGCCCATGATAACGCTGATGGGTCAGGGGTTGAGCTGGGTTTGGCCTGGCTGTGCTGCAGTGCCACATTTCCCAAGCAGGACACAGCAACGGGAGGACACCAAGGACCTTTTGGGGCTGCCCTGGGGACATCGTGAGTGGTCAGCACACCTGGTATTCCCTGGGGAGCGTGCATCACTGCTGCTGGCCTCTTGCTGGCTGGAGACCCCTCCTCACCACCCACAGGTGGAGGGATGCTGGGCTGGTTCGAGCGGGTGGTTCCCCAGCCCCCCGTGCCCCATCTGACAGAAGAGACCCCCCCGGCCCCAGTGCAGGATCCAGAGCCAGCTAAGGTGAGTGGGGAGCCAATCTGGGGGGAACCAGGGACCCTGCAAGCATGGTGGAGAGATGCTTGGTGCCTCTGCATCCAGCCCTGACACTGTGGCACCCAGGGATGATCCACAACATCCGTGGGAGGGATTTGGGCCAGGATGCACCCGCCCTCTGAGCTGCTGGGAGGCAGTGGGAAGGATGGGGAGGCTCTGGGGTTTGCAGCCATTTCTGAGTGGGCGATGCTGTCCCCTGAGCCTCGCACTCTGACACTTTCTGCCTTTTACCCTGAAGGCACTGACGAGAAAGGCCAGTGGCCCTGGAGATGCTGCTGACTATGCACGCACCGAGGGTAAGTCCCCACGGCAGAGGGATGTGCTAATTCAGGCATTGGGTCAGCATTCCCTTACCAACTGGTCCCACTCCTGCCCAGCATGCCAAGGGCTTGCGGGATGGTGATAGGAGCTTTCTGTTTATTTTTTTCCTGGTGCCTTTGAAGAAGTGGAAAAGAAGGTGGGATTTGCAGTCCCGGAGGATGCAAGCTCTGTGTTTGAGAGGTATTGTTCTTACACCCTCCAGCATGCAACGTGGCTTGCCTGGGTTTTTGTTTTTGGTGGGGGGCTGGATGCCTGGGCTGGGGCATCCCAGCCTGACTCGCCCTCTTCCCTGGCAGCGTGGGGAGCAGTGTGCTCTCCTGGATCTCCCAAGGGCTGGAGAAGGTGATGCCCCAGCCAGTTCCAGCCCCAGGGACACTGCAGGCACTTGGGAAGAGCTTTGAGACAAGCATCGATGTTCCCGATCAGGTAGCTGACAGATCTGGGCAACAGTCTGACAAATTTGGGCTTCAAGCTCTTCTTTTCCTTCCAATCATTTTCCCAGTGCTAGCTGGGAACTCTAAACCTGGCCTGCCTGGGCTTCTGCCTTCATCCATCCCTGGGGAAAGGGCAGGTTTCCCCACTGCCGGTTTGGATGAGCCCCCTTGGCTGTTGGGCGGGTGATGGTCTGTTTCTGTTTGGCTTTTCAGACAGAGGTGCAGATCCTCGGGGACGATGATGAGGATGGTCTGGGTAAGGATTGCTGGGAGCCCACAGCTTGCATCATCCCGGGAGCCTTTCTGGGCCTCCTGGTCGGTGATGCTGGCACTACTGGCACCCAGAACTGGGGTGATGGGGGGACGAGGAGCTCCCAGCAGTGCAAGTATTGACTCTCCCCCATCCCTATGGCCCCGCTCTCCTTGCAGTGATAACCCCCTTCGATCCAGAGGATGATGAACTGGATGGCTGCGACCCTGAGGCTGGCTTGCCGGGAGCCTTTCTGGGCCTCCTGGTCGGTGATGCTGGCACTACTGGCACCCAGAACTGGGGTGATGGGGGGACGAGGAGCTCCCAGCAGTGCAAGTATTGACTCTCCCCCATCCCTATGGCCCCGCTCTCCTTGCAGTGATAACCCCCTTCGATCCAGAGGATGATGAACTGGATGGCTGCGACCCTGAGGCTGGCTTGGACACGGGCACGGGGCAGTGGTGGGTCCCTGGGGGGATGCAGGATGGCAGGGCTGGGGTGCAGGATGAGCTCCCCACCACGGCACGCTCTCCCCGCAGGGCAGGGGCACGGGTGATCAGCTGGCTGGCGCAGGGCTTCGAGAGGATGGTGCCGCAGCCGGAGGTGCCGAAAAAGTCAGAGGTGAGCATCGCCCATCCAGGGGGCTGTGGTGCAGAGGTGAGAGCGGAGGGTGTTTCCTGTCCTCCCACACACCCTGGCTGGGACTCTGGGGAGGAAAATCCCAGGGGACATTCAGTAGAGTGAAAGAGCGGCCTGGGGTGCCATCCTGGTGCTTCCCAGCCTGGCTGCATGCAAGGAGGACCCTTCATTCAGGACCTACTGGTGCCAGCAATGCTGGAGGCTGGGTTTAATGGTCCTCATCAAGGAAATGGGGCTGAAACCAGTGAAAGGTGTGTGGGGCTATGCATGAGTCCCCTTGGGGTGGGGGATGTGCCCGCACAGGGTGGTGTGGGGCTGCAAATGGTGCTTTGCTGCATCCATCCATCCCTCTATCCCTCTGCAGCCGGATCCAAAGGAGCAGAAGTGCGAAGCCACAGCAGGAGGTGAGTGATCCCCCAACCCTGGGTGACGCTTTTGGAGGTGGCATTCTGCCTTCAAGAATCCATGCACCAGCCCTCCATCCCCATGCCCTGGGGTACCAACTGTGCGAGAGGGGTGGGAACACAGGGTCCTGGGTCACAGCACAGCCACTACACCGCGTCTGTCCCCAAACTGCCCATGTCCTTGTCCCAGGCTGGGTCCCCAGGGAAGAAGCTGCCAGGGAGGTCTCCCAGGCCTGTTCCAGTGTGGGAGGGACCCTTCCTCGCTTGCTTCCCTTCCCCAGCAATTTATAAGGTGACTGCTGCGTTGTCTGTCCCCCTTTTCCTTCTGAACAACTCTGAGCAGGCACAAAAGGGACTAAAACCCGGGCAAAGGCGAAACGCAGCTCTTCAACCTCCCAGAGCATGCCAGGGACAGTGGAGTCGGCAGCGGCTGAAGGGCAGCCAGAGACAGCAGCCACCCTGGTCCCTCAGTCCCTGGCTGGGGACGGCAGCAGGTAACTGTGGTGGCAGTTTCTGTGTGGGTACCATGGCCAAAGGGATGGGACTGTGGAACCAAAGGCTCTGGTAGCCAGGTCTGATGGTGGTTTCTGGTCACCAGGATGTTTACCTGGTTCGTCCAGGGACTGGAGAAGGTGATGCCGCAGCCAGTGAGCAGGGAGAAGCAGGACACACAGGTATGCTGTCTGCTGGGTAGGCAAAGGGTGCATGAACACTGTGTCCCCAGTGGAGAGGGTGTCCCCTGCCATGCAGATGCCACCAGATCAGTGCTGAGACCTGCTGTGGTTTGGGCTGTCATTCAGATCCTTCAAGAAAAACAAATCCCTATCACCTTCTTAGCTGATGAAAATCAGGATTTGGCCTCTAAGCAGCAAGAGAGCCCATAGTGTGTGTTTTCTTTGCTGTGTCTTTACCTTTCTGCGTGGCACCGGGTGATGTCTGCGCCCTCACATCTCACCCAGGCTCAGTCCAGCTCTAAGGAGAAGCAGCAGCAGCTTCATGTGCAGCTTCCCTTGCATCTGGGCGAGCTCACTGATGTCCTCCTGCCTTTTACCTTTTGCCCTTGCCCAAGCAATCCACATACCCCTAGAAATCCCACAGGGTGTTTAGGGTAAAAGGGCCACATTTACTGAAAATGGGGCAATTAGAGTAAAAAACTAGGTTTACTGGGCAATGTCTTATGTTTTCCTTTTCCTTCTGGCAGGGAGTGTCTGCAGCAACCTCAAGTCCCGTGGAAGAAAGTAAGTGGTTTCTTGCTCTCACCATGCTGTTTTGCTTGTTGGGGTCAGAAAGGTCGCTGAGAAGAGGGGCCAGTGGTGACTTTTATCCCCCAGTCTGCTGTGGGTGCCAGCTCAGGAGCCCCTGAAATCCCTGGGGAAGTCAGGAGAGGCTGTTGCTGCTTGAGAAGTAGGAGCAGATCTGGGGTTGTGGCACGGGCTTGGTAAAACTCAGGTGGTGGGAGTCTGACTGCAGCATCCCAGATCCTCACATCCCAGGTTTTGAGGTTAGTGCTGATATCAAGGTCTGTCCTCGAGCTGTGCCAGAGGATTTTTGCCAAGCTGGTGGGATTTGATCAAAGGATTACAGGGGAATTCAAACCTTACCCCCTTCATCACTCCTTTGGCATGTTTGCTGCTGAGCTGGAGGATGTTTGCTGAGTCTGGCGTGAGATGCCACGGGGAAAACAAAATCCTGGGATTAGATGTGTTAGATGTGAGTCTGCATGGCTGTAGGAAAACATTGCACGGTTCATACTGCTGCTCTCCTGTCTGTGGAAAGGAGCAAGTACCAGCTCTGTGGGCAGCTGGGCTTGGCTCCCCTTACCAGCCACATTTTGGGATGTGGAGCAAGACAGGGAGCCTGGCCAGGAGCCATGGATGGGCCAGCCAGGGGAGGTGTCACACAGCCCCGTGCAAGCACCGTTCCAGGAAGGAGTGGTTGGTCAGGCCGTGGGAGCGCCGATGGGAGCAGGGACACGTGGAGGTTTTGTCCCTCTCCGGGGACGTGCCGGGAGGTTGCTCCTACAGCCAGCAGCTGCTTGATGGGATCTTAGAGCTGGAAATCCCACAGGAAGGCATTTGTCCATGTGTTTGTACAAAGTAGAGACCCAAGTACTGCTGTGGACCTTGGGAAGAGGCAAAGCTGGTGGGATGCTGCCGCACATCTGGGCAGCTGCAGCCTTTGCAGGCGGCTGGCTGGCGTTACAGCTCACTTTGGTGCCTTGAGGCATCTCCAGGTCCCTTAATCTGCCCAAGGAAGGGAGCAATAGGGTAGAGCAAGAGATCTGCCCCAGCACCAAGCTGCCAGCACGATCATTAATGTTTTCCTTCTCCTTTTGTTTCAGGGGGCAAAGGGGCTTAGCGCCTCTGAAACAAATGGAAAACGAAGCCCGTGGCGAGCCAGCCCATCCCACAACCAAATGAGACCAACCTGAGGAGACAGTGCAGCTGGGGAGGAAAAGCAAAAGGGAATCTGCAAATGGTCTCTAGCTCCTTCCCAGCCAGGGCAGCAGGGACCAGAGGCTGGCTGCGTATCCCAGGGCTGTCCCGTCCCGGCTCCCTTTTGTCTTCAGGAACTGGAGCTATTGGTTTTGCAGGGCAATGTCTGTGAGACAGGAGCTATAATTTATAGGAGGGTAGGAAAGCATCACCCAGGACACCTCAGAGGCAGCGAGCCCCTTGCTGCAGCCTCCTAGCACTACTGGCCCTCTCAACTCCCCCCCAGCATCCGAATACTCACCTCTGAGACCTCCAGATGAAGGCCAGAGCTGTCTTTTAGTCAATTTCTTTCTCCAAGATGTCACGTTAGAGAGCTCTTTGAGCTCTCATCAGCTTCTTATTGCTTTTCTTCCATTAACAGAGTGTTTTCTCCCAGCAAGTAGAAAGGGCTCTGGTTTGCAGCAGCAGATGCAGGCGGGTGAAGTGAATCTCTAGGCAAATGAGTGGGAGTTAATGGTTAAAAGCCTTTGCCCGGGCTCTCCTTATGGGAGAATTTACCCAAGCTCTCCTTGTCCCCAGCTATGGCTGTTCTCTCCTAAAACTCACAGCTCCTTGGATGCAGCACTAAGAGGAGTGTCCTGGCAGAGAAGGGATCCCAGGGGCTATCTCAGTTCAAGGAGTGCAGTCATGAATTTAAATTTACCCTCTTTCAGTTTAAAACCCTTGACCCTTGTCCTGCCACTACAGATCATGCTAAAAAGTCTTTCTCCATCTTTTGTGTAAGCCCCCTTGATATATTCAAAGGCCACAATAAAGCCTCCCACCATCTCGTTGCATCTCCTTAGGATGATCTAGGCCTCTGTAACGATGAGTCACGAGCCAAGCAACCAACCTGACATCCATCCCCTGAGTTTATAACCAGACCTGCTGGAACCAGGCTACAATTTTAGTATTTGCCCCATTTTCATATAATATATCCAAAAGTTGTGTCATGTTTTAAAAGCCATCTCTCTGATTGCTGTCCCGCATTTTAATTAACAGGCTAAAGGCAGCATAGGCACCATGGGGTGGGTAAATATGACACAGAGCCGACTGTGGGTGGGTTTCCTGTCTTTCTGTAGTTGAATCTGTACGTTTCCTATTAGCTTTGCTGTGGACATGTAAGTTTTGTTGTCAGGCAGACTTCAAAATAAACTGGTTTACCGTATGCGGATGTGCTTCCTCCTCCTGTTTCTTCAGGATGGGTCCCTGTGGGACAAGACAAGGGCTGTGGATCAGATCCATGCTTTTGGCTTTGCAGCTGGTCCAACAGCCTCCCCAGTTACATGCTGTGGGGTTCTCCCAGTGATGCTGGAAAGTGGCAGGGTGTGCAGGATACATCCCAAACTGTGTTCAGAGAGGACGTGTGGGGGTGCTCAGAGCATTGCAACCTGGGGTCTGCAAAAGCAGGGCCTTGGAGCAGTGCTAGCATAGCATTTCAGGGTTTGCAAGGTTTGGGCTCTTCCTGCACCTGCTTTTGTTTGCGAGGAGAGACAAAATGTGGCTTGGAGATGGGCCAGATCGTCTGCTAGTGAGGGTTGCCATGTGCGTAGGGAAGTCAACAGGCATCTGTACGTGAAGGGGTATGGTTTCCACAGGGTTTTTCCTGTGCTTGGCACAAAATGGTGAATTTTCTTCTTCCTTCTGGCAAAAGTGGCCTAGGCATCCATCTGGCACAGCTTGGGGAGACTGGGGCTGCACAGTTCTGTGCAGGCTGAGAGCAGCTGCATCGAGCAACTAAAATGTGGGATCTGCCATGCCCCTACCTCTGGCCCCTCAAAAATGTGCTGCTCTCACTCCATTGCCTCCCTGTCCCCGTTCCTGTTTCAGTCTGCATTGTCCCTGAGGAACCCAAGGAGACTGACCTCATCCTCGAAGAGATCACCGATGACTGCATTGATGAAGCCACGTGCAAGATGATAGCCCTGGGCCTCGAGGCTCAGCTGGTGGCAGATACTCATCCCCTTCCCCCCATACAGGAGGAACCTCAGGAAGAAGAAAACAGGTAGGAGAAGGGAGATACTAGTGATGGGCAGCTCTGCGTGCGCTCTGGCCACCAGCATAGTGGCCATGGGAAGGGACATGCACATCCCTGTACACCCCTCCTTGGTGGAGCTGGCAGGAGCCAGCCAAGGTGCTTGTTTCCAAAGAGGGGGTACCAGAATGGTGTTTGATCAAACAGCCTTTCCTTCTGGTGCTGAGATTTGAGTTGGGGCAGGCAGTGGCAGAGCCGAGACTGCAATGCTTCACATTGCCCTGCAGAGGACAGCTGAAGGATGCTCTGCTGAGGCTTCCCTAAGTAGAAGCTGGCCCCAACGCGGGAGGGTTTGGACCTGTTTCCCATCAACTACACATCCAACTGTCATGACGATTAGAAATGGTAGTTTTCTCTATCTAATTCGTCCTACAACTTCCAAAGGAAACCCCTGCTGAGGTCCTCCTGAGGGCTGGGCAGTGCTTTCAGAGCTGGGAGTGAGCTGCATTGCAGCAGGGGCATGAGAGGTGTCCATGCCCTCTTTTTTAAAGGGTTTGCGATCCCCTAGAATGCTTCCTGAGCACTGGCACATGCAGGGAAAGGTAAGCACAGCAGTCCTCATCTCTGACATGGGCAATGCTCAGCTGCACTAAACACAAGCAATGCCCAAAGCCACCCTTCTGCTCAGCCAGAAAACACTGGACATGTTATAAAAACATTATTCAGATATTTTTTTTTCCTCTTAGTATATGAGCCTGAGAAGCTGTGGGCAGCAAACACGTCCTGTCCTGCAGGGTGGATTTTATTAACAGGGAGGTATTAGTCAAAATCAGCAGCAAGTGACACCTAAGCACAGCACATCATTACCCTGTGCCGCAAGGGGAATTTGAAGACTCTGGGACTCTGGTTTTGCAATCCCAAACTTTTTCCTGTTCTTCATCTTACCCTCTTGGAGCTGCAGATATTGATAGGCTGTGAAGCAGTGTATGCCCAGTGTGTCCAAACATGTCCCCCTGCAAGAGGTTGGCTGGGGGGTGGAGGAACAGCATCTCTGACCAAAAGGGGAGTGGAAACTGGCAGTGCTCCTCTTGTGAGGTTCATTTCAACTAATGAGTTTCTCCTTCCCAGGCTGTGGATGTGCTCCCTGAGCACTGCTGAGGAGGAGGGGGAGGGGGAAGAAAAGGAGAAGAAGGGGAAGGAGGAGGAGGAGAAGGAAGAAAAGGAGAAGGAGGAGGAGGAGGAGGAGGAGGAGGAGGAAAAGGAGGAGGAGGAGG